ATATCATACCCGGATATCTCAGAATACCCCAACAAAACATCACAAGATCCTGCCACAACCACTGATCTCCTGCCCCAAGCATCATATAGACACAATAATACATCTCCTCTGAACCCCATAATTAGATCTACATTTTTCCCACATTACAACTTCGGTGCATATAATTTCTCGATTGGAATACGAGAAAACGTTGACGCTACGAAATATGCTGATAATTCTCCGAAACTCTTTTTCCCGACGCTCAAGATCCAAACAAGGATACACATACCGACCCCGGGAGTTGGCCGCCCAATCATTCTCTATCTACTTGCAACAACACCAATCACCTGTCATGGATACATTCGTCCTCCTCCTCAAGTACTCCCCGCATTAACTCACTCTGACCCCTTTCCTCGATCACTGACATCTCTGGTCTCATGATTTCTTACAGCATATCTCTATACTCCACTTATAACTACTCTTGACAAATCTTTGCTTTCTTACATACTGCACACCCGGTTCTCCCCCACTTAGGGTTCGAACCATCACCAATTAGCACACAACCAACCCACGACTATTTTTCACCAGCGAAATTGCACTTGCTCCAGGAAAGTGCTACGCAACGCCTGGCAATTCCCCCCTTAAGGAAATCAATCAACCCCCTATACCCTGAGCCTCTGATTAACTCTCCAAGAACTTCTCATCACGACTGCCTCTAATCGTTCCAAATCCCATACCAATCTAACACTAAGCATCTCAACTGGTCAATAACATCCCTGGCTCATAGACTGCACCGCAAAATCATCGTTCCTTTCACCTCAACTCATCAACCAATGTTCCAATGCCGGAATTGTCCCAAGGACAGGGACCCACTCCCAACATAGACGAAAACTCTCTGCACTGCAAAACTCGACTGAACTCCCCACTGCTACCACTATAACACAACCTACTATTCTCAATTAGGTGTGGTGTGGTCCTCGACTACCTCAGTCCCAACTGACTGTCTGCTCCCGATAAGTCACTACCTCGTGACATCCTGCTACCTGATACTCTGAGGAAATCATTATTGATAACAACCTGCAGGGTGTACTCCCAAATCCAAAACCGAAACATCAGGCCTCTCGTGTTTTGCACACGAACATAAATGGAACTACCCACCTAGAAGGTGACCTCTCCTCTATCGACTGATTGCTCGACTCAGACCGAAATTTTCCTCTCCCTTTAACTCCTTACCAAAATACTCTGTTAGGCACTCGCCTTTCCTCTCGAGGAACGCCTCTCCATACTCAATCAGGGTCTACAGGCCTAAAACCCCTAGCGTCCGATCTCTACCTCATCTATCATGACCGGATAACAAGATAATCACAAGCATCATTCACTACGAACCATGGTACTCATCCCATGACATCCCTCCTCAATATGCTCCGGTGTATGGTACCCGAACCATAGCTTCACTCCTCAACCTGCTCCGATGTATGGTACTCGAACCATAGCATCACTCCTCAATCTGCTCCGATGTATGGTACCTGAACCATAGCATCACTCCTCAACCTGCTCCGATGTATGGTACTAGAACCATAGCATCACTCCTCAATCTGCTCCTTAGGACCTTCAGAATGCTCCCTGTATCAAGTATGGGTCCTCTGCTTTCAGTAGTACGGGCCCATACTACCTGCCACATCTACCCATACTTTCCACACGGACCATCCCAGAGCTCCTAAGTAGCTGCTCGACCTGCTCTTTCACCAATCCCATCGCACGTGCCCGCTCTCCAGCGAAATCCTCTACTTTACCAGCGCACTCATCTGGCTAGGTTTACTCCCTAGTCTCTTCTGTCGTCCTCCCACTTCTTTGCTATCAGCTGCTGAAGAGCTCCTAATGATGTCAGCCATCTACCTCCTGAATATCGTCATACTCACTTAGTAGCTGACTCCCATCATCGAGAGTTCCATAAAGCACACAAAGCAAGCAGCATTCGAGCATCGAAGAATACATAGGACTCCTTATCTGTGATAACTCCACCTTCTCGGCTCATCCTCGAAAATACCCCTGAACTCTGTACTCTACCCCTCGTGCGTTCTAACTGGATACTCTCACTCATCACATACTCAAAAGCATAACGCACATATAACAACAACCCTAGGCTAAGGCATCACAAATCAAGCCACTCTAGTTCTAAGATATGAAATACCTAGCCTGTCTCTAGCATGCAATAATATCTCATAAAGTGCATCATAGATATTTCATAACACAAAAGTAAGGGTATTTTGGGAAATCACCGTTTGGCTCTGGCTGATTGTACACACTGCTCTTTCTTGCTTTCTCTTTGAACTCTTATTCACTTTTAGAAAACTATTTATTTGAAAACTTTTTCTTACTTCCTCAGTTTGAGTCCAGATTTACCCGAAGGCGCATCCGAATCCCTCAAACCAAGGCTCTGATACCAATTTGTAACACCGTAAATTTCAAGGCAAAATTTTCATTTAAATAATCATTTTAATATTAAAACACTTGTTAAAAATCTCGTTCATAATTGAATTACAAAGCATAGTTTCATTTTCACTTGAATAGAAAACCAGGATCCTCCAAAATTTGACTCTTTCTCTGGTGTGTACAATCGAGCCGGTGCCATCCCGTGTTACTGAAAGAACCTGAAAACAACATAACACAAAACACTGTAAGCACGAAGCTTAGTGAGTTCCCCAATATACAACTTACGCATATACGCCTTTCCAGGCCCTGACCTTCCGGTCCACAACACAACGCCTTCCGGCCCTTAACATAATCGCCTTCCGGCCCGTAACATATTCGCCTTCCGGCCCATAACATATTGCCTTCCGGCCCATAACACATTGCCTTCCGGCCCATAAAACATACACAGCACATATAACAATTAACTTACCACATATAGCACATATATCACATATCATATCCGACCTTCCGGTCACGTAGCATATTGCCTTCCGGCCCATACATATTGCCTTCCGGCCCATATAAACATACATAGCACGCATAGTAATTATCTTACCACATATAGCACGTATATCACATATCATATCCGACCTTCCGGTCACACAGTCAAACCCTTCCGGGTACAGTATAGTGAGAAGACTCACCTCGCGGATACTGAAAGTTAGCAACTCCTGAAATCCCTCGTACTTGATCCGCGAGCTACAAGCTCCCTATAACATCATATATCTCTTATTAATACTTTTATCTTCCACGTTAACTGACCCTAAGAAATCACACATGGGTCAACTCTGGTCAACGGTCCACGGTCAACTCGACCGGACTCGGCGAGTACTCTGGCGACTCGGCGAGTCTAGTCGTCCTCCAATCCTCTAAGGTTTCCCTTCTACTCGTCGAGTATCCTCCTTGACCCGACGAGTTACTCCTGGAAGAATCGCGGGGCCACCCCGACTCCACTCGCCGAGTCTGAGGAACAACTCGACGAGTCCCAGTTATTCTTCAAGCTACTCGCCGAGTCTGCTCATCTGACTCGGCGAGTCCATGCCATGCAGCCGCTCAAACTGCTCCTTGTTCCTCAGAACCTTGATCTTCCGATCCCTGATGGCCACTGGTCTCTCAGCATAACTCAGGCTCGCATCCACCTAAATGTTCTCTAGTGGAACCACTGCTGACTCATCGACTATACACTTCTTCAACTGCGACATATGAAAAGTGTCGTGGATCTATCTCAATTCCGCTGGCAACTCCAAACGGTAGACCACTCGTCCTACCCTCACAATTTCACGAAAAGGCCCAACATACTGGGGCCCCAACTTGCCCCTCTTCCTGGATCGAATCACCCCTTTTCCAGGAGAGACCTTCAGGAGTACGAAGTCGCCGACCTGAAACTCAAGCTCGGACCGGCGTCTGTCTGCATAACTTTTCTGTCGGCTCTAGGCGGTCAATAACCTCTGTTTAACCTGCTGAATCTGCTCTGTCGACTGAAGCACGATCTCTGTACTGCCCACTACTCCCTGTAACCGAGAATTACCCAAGATGCAACTCTGCTCTAAATCTCAACGATCACTTGGCCCATAAGGGTTAGGAAACCATGAATCACCGGATCCCCGATCCAAAGCCCACCTTATCCATTTCGGGACGATTGAGAGACCCATTCTCACTCTCAGAGCAACTCTCACGAGTTCTCCTCTTGCAATCGCATACACATGCTGCACTAGCCCCAACGTACCTTTCTCTTCCCTTACCTAGGGAAATCCACTTGACGACCTTGCCACTACTCCATGTATCGCACATGCTCCGGATCTGCTCGCAAGGACTCTCGGGTCCATGCATTACCTCTCCTCAGCAAATGAGGGTCCGACACCACCTCCTATGCAACATCTCAAAGGGCGGCATACCAATGCACTAATGATGGCTGTTGATATGAGACAACTCAACCAAGGATAAATACGTACCGCGGCTTCCTCCGAAATCTAATACACATGCCCGAAGCATGTCTTCAAGCGTCTGAATCGTTCATTCTCTCTAAAGTGTCCTTAGATGTCATCAGGATAAGCTCCTTTCTCATATTCCTCTTCAAGACTGAGTACCAGGTCAGCTTTTGGCTCCACAGCTGAGCCCCCAACGTCACCCATATCATGATCCAAGTGTGCCACTAACTTCCTCCCCGTGACCACTATCCCGGCCCAGTGACACGCAAGTCACGAAATCCTCTTTTCCTCATGCGAGAAAAATACAATCCAAACGAGGATCATCTCAACTCAAATCTCTGGTTTCTGCTCCGCAT